TAGTGTGGGAGACCTTTCAAACAAAAACCTATCAAGAAAAAAATTTGGGTAAGTATGGATATACAAAAACAAAATTTATCTTCTCAAAAGTGATCTAAGAACAATAAACCAGGAATGAGAATAAGTCTTTTTCATTCTTAGGCATGCAAGAATTATTACAAGATCCAATTCCCTTAGGATAAATACGTAGCTGTGTATTTGGAGAAATACAAACACACAGTATGTCAAATGACACAAGTGCTGTGAAGAACAATAAAGCAGGACTACAAGAGAAAGAACAAGGGGAGGCCTAACTGTGATTTCACACAGGCTGGTCATTAGATCAGCAGGAAGGATGCATGTAAGGAGCATTCCCAAGAATGAAAGGACAGCGGTGAGGAACTGCAATCTGAAGATCGACCAGCTTGGGGGGGCGGGGGGGAGAACGGGAGTATAATGTAGAGAAAGCTCAGCTCGGTGTGCGTGGGTATGCTTGAGTAGAGAGAGAATGCAAACAGGAGTCAGTTCATAAACTAGCTCAGAAAGTACACGAAACACAAAATTAGACGCACAGTTTAGAAAAATGACTCTGACTATAGTCCATAAAGAATTTCAAGTGGAAACTAAAAAAGAAAATCAAGAAACCAAGTAGGTGTCTCTACAATTCTACCAAAAGTTAAAAGTCTTCAAGAAAAAAAAAGCAAGATCCAGCAGATCCTCACTATTCATGGATTCCAAAACTATGAATCCACCCGCTCTGTCAGTAACCCTAAAATCACCACACAGAACTTCGGCAGTCACTTACAGACATACAGAGCAAATACTGCAAATCACCAACATGCAAGTTCCCAGGCGGGGTCAAATAAGGTAACACTCTACCTGCTTGATCTAGCTCTCACACTGTAAACAAGCATCCTTTCATGATTTAGTGTCATGTTTTCCTATTTTTGTGGGTTTTGTTAGTAATTTTGCTGTTTTTGCTAGTAATTTTGTTGCTTAAAATGGTTTGCAAGTACATACAGTACTCAAGCTTATTGTCTAGTGCTCGTAGGCACAACGTGATGGTGATGTGCCTTAGAAATAAAAATCTATACCCGCTAAGGTATTTATGTGCCACTGTCCATGAGTTTAACCTTTAAGTAGTATATCTTTACATAAATAGACATACATATAAAATAAGATTATACAGTGATTGCTTGACCAAAATGTGACCAGATGCTCACAGGAACCTAACTCTGTATTTCCTATAACAGTAATGTTCCAGGGTTTGCAATGACTTCATCTCTACCCCAACAGACAAGAATCAGTTCTATGTGGGTGCATATGTGTTAGTGCATGCAAACCTGTATGTATCTGTAAGGTAGAAATAACTGGAACAGCAATCAATTACAAGTAGTAGGTAAGTGACAAAGGACTAACCACACTAGGTTTCTGATTTGGACAACTGAAAGGTAATGAGACTAACAATAAAGACAGGAGGAAGAGGTAACTTGAATGAGGACACAGATGCCAGCCTTGGAATGTAGTGTATATGCCAGGACATGTTTTATATATGTTTATCTGACCATACCCACCTTCCCCTCTGAGGGTAAGAATAGTAACTTTGTCCATCTTGGATATCGTCTGCATATAAAGTACTCTCCTTTAAGTCACACCATATAAACCAGTGTCCTCTATTAATTATTTTACCTTCCACTACCACCTCTGCAATTATATTATCCATATTCAACATTACCTATATAATAATGCATAGTGTTTCTATGGAGTTCCACAAAATGTAAATAACCCGTGCAAAGCAACAAATACCATAGAAAAAAAATCTTTACAAACAGATAGTTTTTAATTTGTTTATAGAAACAAGGCAGTATCTTCAGCATAAATTATCAAAAGACCATTCTGAAATACCATGTTTAGAGAGAATTTGAATATATAAATTGTTTTGTTTTTACACTTAAAATCTTAGGATTATAAATGCTTTTACTGGGCCAGTACTTTTTACAAAAATGTTTATATACAAGTCTTTTACACCCTAAAAATTAAAATTACACAACTGTGTAAACTTAGTCATATACAATATTATGTACACAGGAAAGAACTTCTATAGAAATGAACCATTCCTCCATCTAGTCAACATCATCTTCCTTCATATACCATTATAATAAAAATAAGCTACTATAGAATCAATTTTATAATCAAATATATACTTCTAGGAACACAAAACTGAAAGCTTGCTGATAACAGTTTTTCCAGTACACAAGGGTACAATATAGAGTCAAAGTCAACTTACAAGGTAAATAATCATGTAAGAATCCATTTTTCTTTCAAGTGTATGTTTATCTTAAGAGCTTCTTTTCACTTGCAAAAGAAAAAGCACCTTGCTAGTTTTATCTTAAACTACAAAATACTGAGAATAATTACCATTTCTATGCTAAGAAAACAGGTGAAGTTCAAAAAGGGAAAATTCAAGCCAGAGAGATAACTCAGTGGCTTAAGTCCCTGCCTGGCAAGCACAAGGTCTGGTATTTGATCCCTAGTACAGAAAAAAAAAAAAAAAAAAAAGGTGGGAGAAATTCACAGCTAAGGAAAGTAAGTCAAAATGCCAATTACTGAGGGAAGGGGGGATGAGAGTATTCTGTATAGAACTGTAACCCTGGTTCATGACAATTGATTTTAAGAAAAACCACATCCAATCAACTGAAGACTAAAAAGAAACAAAACATCCATGGATATTAGACCATTTAAAGAACAAAAAGTGAAGGGCAAAAAAGATAATTTTAATAACCTTTTCATATAATTAAGAATGTAATTATACATTGAAGGTCTTATTTATATTTTTCAATTTGTCTGATTTATTTCCTAGTCAAGGAAAACATTTGCCATCTAGGAAATTTCTCATAGATCAAGTATAGCCAGGATGTTCAATATCACTTTACTTTGACTGGAAGCTTTTGTTTTTGAAATTGTACATAGTAATAATATGTCATTGTATATGTCAGAAGGTTTTTATGGTACTAAAAGTTTGTTTTATTTTGTCAAGCATTAAACTTTTTAAAGAAAATAATTGAATGATAAAATAAACTTAAAAAAAAAAAAATGTAATTATAGGGCCGGGAGATAGCTCAGTAGAATAGGCACCTGCCTGGCAAGCGAAGGATCCTGAGTTCAATCCCCGTTACCGCAAAAAAAGAAAAAAAAAGAATTATATTTCTATTCCTACAATATTTATGCATTTGATCATAATGTAGATAAAGCAGCTTTGCATCTCAAAATTGAGACAAACTAGAAAAGTAAACCAGGGCCAGCAAAATAGCTCAGCAAACTAAGCACCTGCTTAGGCAAGCACAGGGCCTGAGGTTTGATCCCCGGTGCTACACACTGTACCCTGCCACCAAGACCAGGCATGGTGGTGCATGCCTGTAATCCCAGTGCTGGAGAGGCTGAAAACAGGAGGATCACTACAAGTCCAAGCTGCGTAGTAGAAAGACTCTGTATCAAACACACGTTTAAAAAAAAAAAGCCAAAACACTTCGCATACCTGAGACATAACAAGACAGGAGCCAGGCAATCAACAGCAGGTGGTATAGAATACATATTTAGTGCAATCACTGAACAAAGAGGTGCCTGTCTTTTTTCCAAGGGCCAAGGGGCAAGGGTGGAAGGAAGAAGGGTCTTCTTGGTACCAGCCTATTATCTCAAAAACTGACATTCTTTTAGCCAACAGGGCAAATTTTCATCAGGTGCAGGCCTGAAGGCCAGTAGTCAGCCAAGAAAAGGAAAAGCAAAGACTAAAGACTTACTTAAATGTTGCCTTCTCTAATTACCCTGGAATACAGAATTTTTCCTCCACAGAAAAAATCTCATAAGAAGCAATACAATCATAATCAACCAACAAAGTGAGACCCAGATCATTCTACAAAGTCTGCCTGATAAAAGTAATCTATTTAACACTTGAAAATTAGTTACAAAAGAAGGTAAAGTAATAGTACCACTATTCAACTTTATGTGGGATATTTGTGGATTCGTGTGTAAAGTGGACCATTCCTGTAAGACTTTATCAGGAAAAAAGAAACTTTATTGGGAATTTTCATCAGTTACAAACTCTTAGAATATATTTCACTTCTAAACCGGAGACTGCCTATACATAATTCTGGTTAATGAGTCAAATACTAGTACATAGTTCAAATTTACTAACTTGATAAAGGTTCAAGACTAGAAAAATCAAAGCAGTTGGGGATAATTCAAATTTTAAAATCAATCATATAATACAGTTTGCAATTGTTATAATCACCTACACACCTATAATGTGTATTGAAATATGTTGTTTTAAAAAAAAAATGGGAAATAGAAATGCAGCTTAGTGGCAAAGAAGTTCACCTAACTTATGTAAAGCCCTGGGTTCAACTCCCAGAATTAAAAAATAAAAACTAAAAGTAAAAATAAAAAAGGTATCACAATAAATCAAGGAGCATTTGGTCATAAACACTGAAGATATATGCCTCCTAACTACATCTTAACTATTCCTACCACAATACAAAAACATGACACAGCTACTCCAGAGGCTGAGGTAGGAGTAGCTGTGTCATGTTTGAACTTGAACCATACCAACTTCAAGTTCAGCCGGGGCAACTGAATAAAGAGTACCACAAATGGAAAAAACAAAGGAAGAGTACTGGGTATGGATCAGTAGTACAGCACTTGGCCTCGTATGTGAGAGGTCCTGGGTTGAATCCCCATACAAAAAAATAAAGGACATCATACAGAGATAAATACTGGAATGTCATCCTGAGATAACAGAACAAAAAAATGCAAAATATATTAAATATATAATGAAGCAGCTGCCAGAGAAAAGGGTTTTTTGTTGTGTTTTTTTTTTAACTGTAAAAAGTCCAGTTATTTTACTTTCATTAAGAAATAACACTTTAGCCAGGGAGATGGCTCAGTGGAATAAGTGCTTCCCTGGCAAGTGCAAGAGCCTGAGTTCAATCCCCGGTTCCGCCAAAAAAAAAAAAAAAAAAAAGAAATAACACTTTAGATATTATTGTATTGTTTCACAAAAAATCTAATAAAATCTGCATTATTTTATGACAAAGACCATTATTCCTACTCAGTCTTATCTCGATATCTAGAAATAAAGCTGATTGGGTATTTTTAGCCTTAATAATTTCATCCTACTGATTTCTTGTCAGAATCACCAAGGGATCATCTTGAAAACACATCAACCATAAGAGACTAAGTCAGTAGTCAAGGGCAAAGCCAGTTGCAATGCTTTGAAAATATTCCCCCATGACTCCGACGCAGGATCACTGCAGCAAGGGATGGACTACATACTTATTCTTTGGACCATTAGATAAAAAAGAGCCATTAGATAAAATTTGGTCATTGTAGAGCACACAGCCATTAGCAGCAAAAATGAAAACTCCGTATTTTGTTATTTATTGTAAAGTTAAGAGATCTGATAAAACTGTCTATCCAAAGAATATGCAATCATATTTGAAAACACATCCTGTATTTATTTTTAAACAATATTTGTTTTTATGGAAAGTGATTTTAAAAATGTATAAAAATAGTTTATGTATTAATCCAACTTTATATTTATATGGTCCCTTAAAATTTTGATTTTCATTTTATTACCATCAAAAATGTATTTCAACCATAACCATAATACTTCCAAATGCTAGGAATTTTAAGATTTTCTAATAGAAAAGACTTAGTATTCATCTACAGAAAAATAATGACATTGGAAAGTATACCAAGAACATTTTAAAATATAATTATATATCAACATTGCTATGCCACATATTATAAGAATAATCTTTATAATTAACAATCCCGGGTGGTGACATTTTTAAGGGAAAAAAGCACAAAAATATTTTGTAGGAGAAAATACCTCATAAAAACTTACTAAAGTTGAATGCCAAACAAAAATATTTGGGGTTCAACTTCATAATATCAAGTTGCCATATGCACTTTGTAAACATACACTCATTATGGGCTATCAACACAAATAAAGCCAGTTATCACTAAAAGAAGACAGAGTTAAAAATTTTCAGTGCAAAAATCCAGTATCAACTTAAGTTGTTTTCAACTGACTTAAGACAATTTTAATAAAAACCACAATATAAAGTGATCCTATAATGACTTTTAAGTTAAAATAAAAGGCTCTACAACGATTACCAGGTTTTCCTTTTGTTACTATTCTCTAGTAAATGCTTTCTTTTGATTAGCTTTTACAATGTCATCAGGAGAGGCTGATTTGAAGTCAAATGGTGTGATTGCTACAAGGGGGCTTATTTCTTTGTCCTTTACATCTTGAACTTGTCTACTATAAAGAAAAGCCTTATAGAGGTCAAGGGTATGCCGCTTGCAGCTTTTCAGTGGGTAACGAAGACACAGCGTTGAAGCAAAAGCAGAAGGTCTAGCAGCAAGGGCTTTGGTCCAAGAGACAGAAAAAGGTGGTGTCCTGGTCAGACAGCCTTTATTGTGTTTCTTGTTATCCTTAAAAGAATTGACATTTTTCCCTAACTTTGAACTCAGAACTTTAGTTCCTGATGTTGGAGAAATCAATTGGTCAACTCTAGGCTTTGTAACAAAATCTGGAGTTTTTATCAGGACACTAAGATCAATATTTGAATCTATTCCAGAAGACTTCATTTCAGATAACCTGGCGTCAAAGGGATCTTTCTTAACCTGAGCACTGTCTACATCAATGGTTTCTGCAATCAAATCAGAAAGGGACAAATTCTCAAAGTCTCTTGTAGGAGAAGCTTTATGAAATGCCAAAGATGATAAAGATCCTGTTAATTCTGATATTCCACTAGAAGACTGACAACGATTTGCTAACTGTGACAGGGGAAAGGATCCCAAACTTAGATCTGTAAAACTGGCAGAAGACTGATTACAAAGATCAGATAAACTAAAGCACTGGTTTGGATCATTTTCTTTGTGTTCCTGAAACAGTTCAACCAGGGATGGATTTTCACAGTGTGAAAACTGCGAACTGTCATTTTTCTTGGCACTTTGTTCAACTAAAGAAACATTTCCAACTTCAGCCTTTTTACTAGGGTTTAAATTATCAAGAGTTATATTTTTTTCCAATGAGCTAGGTAAGTACAAAGGATGATTCAAACTTCCCAGCTTGTTTTGTGCAGGAATACCCTGGGAATCAGGTGGTGAACTGTTTCGAATCAATACATTATTGTCTGTTGTACAACCTATCATTAAGGACTTTAAATCGGGTATTCCTTTGAAAGCAAAATTATCTTTGGAAACACATTCAGATGCATGAGGTCTTAACAAATCAGCATCTACATTCTTTGAAAGCACACTCCGCAAACTAGCTGTGGATGACAGTCTTACTGGTGGCTGACGCTTACAAGAATCTGTTGGCATATTGTGAGTTAGGTCAGCTAGTGAAAGCCCTTGTGGTAACTTACATAATTCTAGTTCCTTTTCACTTTTAGGTCTGTCAAGATTCTTTTTCCTATGAAGTAAATATTGACCTGGTACAAGTGAAGAATTGTAAGATCCATCTTTTGCTACTGAGCTAGAAAAGTCAAAGGATTTGCTAGCACAATCCAAATGATTTTCTGACTGAGGATAAGAACTCTGAATTTTAGCAGCTAAATCTTTAGGGGAAGAAAATAAGACTCCTTACCTTACAAGAGCCATAAATTTTCAAATGAGTAGGTTGACACATGCAGAAGACAGTCACAGCAACCAAAAGGAAATATGAAATAAGGCATTTAATTACTAAATGATTTCTTTTAGTTATGACATAAATAAACTGATACTTGGTCATTGCCTAATATTAAATTAACATGCTAAAAAAATCGTAATAAAGGAATACTATCTTTCCTTAACAATCTAGCATAACTTCGTACTTTGTTTATAACATTAGAAATGTGGAATAATAGCAAGTCAGTATTCTATTATTCACAAATTTAACATGAGGTTTTACCATAATGACAGTCACAACGGTTTCAAAATCAAACTTTAAAAAATGAAAACCTAGGTTCATTTTCCTCTATATTTCAACATATTAAAAACAAGCAGGAACCAAGCACAATGATAGATGCTTGTCATTCCCAGATACTCAGAAGACTGAAACAGGAAGAGATCGTGAGTTCAAGGCCAGCATGGAAAATTTACCAAAACCCTGTCTCAAAAATAAAATTTTAAAAAGGCTGGAAATGTAACTCAGTGGTAGACAGTGTACCTAGCATTCCTGAGGCCCTGGGTTCAATTGTCAAGTAACTTGTAATTTCTACTGTGAGCTGCAATATATTATTAATTCAGATGACACATTACAGGCTCATTCCCATAATGGTCAATTAAAAGTACACAGAGATTTGTGTTCCTTCCCCACAAAAAAACACTTCTATTTCCTGGTAACAGATTGTATGCAACTATGTCATAATAATATTATAGAGCACAGGTTAGAAGAAATATAAGAATTACCAACCCAGTTAGCAAATCATCATGTTCTTACCAACAGATATTATACCAACTAATATACCTGTTCCCTTCCACCTACTAAATTCAAACTAGAACCTCAAATCCTACAAATTTAAAGGTCTATAGATTGTATGAATAATTATAGTACTTACAATATTTAATGGCATTTAAGTAAAATAAACTAAACGCATGACATAAACATAAAAGTTTAATAGCTAACTACCAATTTCTACCTCCTACCACATTAAAGTTTAAAAAATTAAAAAGTTTTCTAAGATACTAACAGTATGGGGGGGAAGTCTTGTTTTACATGATTTTATTTCCCCTAGTTTCTGTCAAGTTATTCAAATGAGTAGTGAAATAACTGAAAAATAGTTTATGACAGGGAGAGGAAACATAGTAGTCAGCTTAAAAACTCACAAACCAGAAAAATCAACTAGTAATAATCATGTTAACTGTAACATGCAACATTTTAACATCTCAAGCAAATTAAATTTTTTTGTAACACTTTGAGCAATTAAAACACCCCTTTCAGCGTTAACTAAGAAAAACAACTGAGAGAAATCAAGTAAAAGCATACCTTTGGGTATCTTTCTTGTAGACATTACTCTCCCACTCTTGTCCTTCAAATTTGGCACATTATCCTGTTCCAGAACAAATGACAAAGCCTTCTGCACATCAAATTTGCTCTTCAGCACTGCTTCAACCAGTATGTCATCAGCCACAGCATCTCCCAGCACCTCTCTCATGTGATCAAGACAGGAATAAAGCCGAGCTGGAACAAACAACAATGATCACAACCAGATCTTCCCCTATCAGATGACCAATTCCATTAAGAAGTCACTATAATAAACGTTCTTGAATAATACTAATATTTGGGGGAAAAAATATAAACTGCACATCTTAAAACCTATTTTCAGTCCATGATTATGATACATGACTTCTGAATACTAATGCTTGAAAAAAGTATAAATGGCATACCCTACTACTGTGGTAAAACTTTTAGAGACCAAGTGTCCAAGGTGCAACCCAAACCTACTTATCTACACAAAATGTTAATACTGAAATAAAATGTCAATTATGAGGTTTTTATTTAGAAAAATACCTTTTATCTGAAAAGAAACACAGTTAAAACATGTACCATAGTTCATCACCACAGCCCTACTATGTACTTTCAGACAAGGATGATGAGTACATGTACAGACTGCTTTTCCCCTGCATAGAAAAGATATCAATGTGGGACTATTTCTTTTTTTTTCTTTTTTCTTTGTATTTAAAATAGGGTATACAGGGTCTCACTGCGTAGACCAAACTCAGGGTGATACTCCTGTTTATAGCCTCCCAAGTGCTTGGATTACATACAGGAACGCACCACCACAGCCAGTCTCAATCGCTGTCTCAGTGTGTCCTGGGGATGGGGCCATCACGGCAGGCCCGGGGATTGAACTCCCTGCCCCTGCACCTGCCTAAGCAGGCACTTTACTCTGCTGGGCTATTTGGCCGCCCCACCCCCCTTTTTTTTTTTTTTGACTATTTCTAAGTTATTATTGAACACAGGTGATTACCAAGTCTGTTTCTTACATTTCAAAAATTCTTTTTTTTCAATACTAACTTCAGTTTTCCCTAAACAAGTAAAATCATTCTTAATGACTACTTAAAAACAAGCAAGCCATAAAAATAAGGTTCAGAGGCAAATGAACATTTATTTTTAAAATAAAAAATTCAGGAGTTGGGAACAGTCAGCAGTAGAGCACCTGCATCCCTAATGCATGCACAGAGCTCTGGACTCAACCTCCAGCCCCACAAAATAAAACAATGAAAGTAAAATTAGAACTTGAATTGTCTAAACTGATGTTAATTTTTTATGACATTATTATAAAATGTAATTAGTATTAATGGCAAGTCAACGTTTTCTCTTTTTTTAAAAAAAAAATCTTAATTTAACAACTGGTATAAGCACCAGAGAGATGGCTCAGTGGACTAAGCACCTGCTTTGGTAAGGCATACCACACCAGCTCTGCCAGCCCCGCCAGCCCCGCCCCGGGCACGCTGAGCCAGCAATGGAGTCTGGCCATGGTGGCTCATGCCTGTAATTCCAGCACTAGGAAGGCTAAAAACAGGAGAATCAAAAATAAATAAATAAATAAATCAATAAATAAATAAAAACAGGAGGATCACTGCGAGTCCTAGCTGCATAGTGAGACCCTGCACGAAGGGAAAAAAAAGCTAAAATCAACTGGTTATAAATTTACTGACATATTCAAAATCAGCTCACAGATTTCTATATTTCTTTTTTTTTTTAAATCTTTTTAGTATAGAATCTCACCATGAAGCTCAGACTCAACAGTGATCCTCCTATCTCAGCCTCCCCCAGAGCTGGGATTACAGGGATGTGCTACCATGCCCAGTTTTGGGCCCACATAGTACGCCTCGGGTTCCAGGGCTGGCAGGCATGCAGTACTGAAGATCCAACCCACATCTTTGCACTTGCCAGGCAGGTGCTCAGCTCAGACTGCTGAGCCATCTCCCAGCCCTCTATATTTCTTGTGCTTTTAAATTAACTATAAACTTTCAATTTGAAAGCATTTATCAAAAAAGTCACAATTCAGAGAAAGAAGAAATCAGCCTGGTGCCACTCAACAGGTGATGTTACCACTATTTTGGGCCCTTTCAGCTCTGCTATCAACCCACAGCTTCAATGACATCTGGAGCAATATTATTTTTGGAACTTTCTTAGAAAATAAAGCCAAAATAAAAGAGCTGAAAATGAGCAAACAAATAAAGATTATTACAATAAAAAAAAAGAAAGAAAATGAGCAAACAACTAGTGTGTTAATCTGCACATAAGTGGACAATCAAGACACCTGTCATTTTGGTCTTGCACTGTTTTTGTAAAACCTTTTAGTACTTAACATCTTTACAAATAATGATATTTCTGTAATCTAATCATGAGTGATACATAGTGCCTGTGAGAAAAATTTCCTAAAAAGTTCTTATAACAAATCACTGGAGTTTTTTTTTCCTTTGGAAGAGATGAAAGAATGAAATAGTTCAATCCCAAACTTCAGGTGCTAAACAATATCCACACAACCAATTTTGTAATCACACAGCTAAATAAATACACTTCTCACACAATATATTTAACCAAATGTGAATTTTCTTTGAAGATGTAAAATGTTTGTATACCAGTCAGCATTATGAACAATCACAATAAAACTCATAAACCGTTATATTTGATTATTAATTATTTTCTAGTAAACAACACACATACATGGTTTTTACTATACCTTGGTCAAGTCCACTTAGCTGTTGGTGTGAAAGGGAATTAGAAGAGTCTTTCAGATCATCATAGTAACTCTCCTCTACAGGCTCATCAACAGAAGGCTTGTCACGCTGTGAATAGATAAACTGAGCAGCTAGAAAATACAATGAGTGAAGAATGCTGTAGTGTAGCTGTTTGCCTTTAACTTTCTTACATGTTAATGTAAAAATTTAAGACTCTGATCTACCATTCACAACCAATGACCCACATTTCAAAATAAAGGATAAAAACTAAAGTAAGCTAACACAAAACATATAAAAATTCTGTTCAAATGCCTTACACAGTACTACTTTTTAATATTTTATGTTGATTCTACCCCCAATCTAAAAGGCCATTTCAGCAAATTTACCCTTCTCCCCTTCTTGTACAAGAATTTAATAGCATAAGTATTATAATTCATCATGATTAAATAATGAAAAAAATCCTAGCTTATAAATTCTCCAAGGAGATCTTTTTTGGGGGCCACTCAGGATGCCTTCAGGGCAGGTCTGGTTTGGCTTGAGGATGAGGGGATCAAACCACAGCATCTTGAGCCTGATTGCTTTGTTTCAGCAGGCACTTACACACTGGAGCTAATGGGCAGGCCCCCAATGGGATCACTTTTATCAGATAAAATCTTAAGACATTCATTGTAAAATCAAAAGTCATTTTAGTGTTAATATCGAGATTGACAGTCTTTTATTTTAAAGTGGTCTATAAAGTAACAATACTTTTTAAAATCTAAGGAATCTTACACTTAATATAATTCAGAAGTACTAGCCCAGGTGTGGTGGTTCATACCCCTTATCTAAACTACTCCAGATGAGGCAAGAGGATCAAAAAGTCCAAGGCCACCATGGCAACATAGTAAGACCCTATATTAGTTTAGCCTAAAATTAACAAATATACCTCTTCCAACTTCCTCTCATACCTTTAACTGTGAAGAAGAAACCTAAAAACATCAAAACATTATAAAAAAATAAGATATCAGATACATCCCCCAAGGAATTTCACTTAGGAAATACTAATAGGAAAGAAGTCCTTAAAGCTTTAGCACAGGAGCTAATTTCTCTATGGGGTTTCCAAATACCACTAGGATCTCCCCCATACATAAATCTAACCCATAAACCTGTTCTATGGCTTGGCTTCAGAAGCTGTAAGGGTTGGGTGTGCTGGGGTAGGAAAACTCCCACAAGAAAAGACACACTAAGGGGAGAAGGAGGAAAGCAGCCCAAACCTTTGAAGTTGAAATGACAGCCCAAAAAGCAGAAAATAAAATAAAAAATTAAATGTCAGGAAGACAAAGTTGAGGAAATAGTAAATACAAAGTATGTTACTCTCTAAAATTTTAAATCATACACTTTGATGAAGTGTTTTCTAAAAAGAGATACCTATAGTGTTTCTTTTTAACTTAAGGCATTTTGAAAAAAACGTAAAAGTTCAAAGAATTCAATACCTAAGTAATTGAACCTAAAATTGTTCGCAAAACATACTGAAATGAAAATTATATGTGCACTCAGTAAAGGTGTAACAGCTCCCAAAGTTCTTCCTCTAAAAGATTCTGATACAGTGGTGTTGGAATGGGTCAGGAAACTGGTATTTTAACATTTTCTTTCAGTTGATTCATACCATCATGGATTCTTTGCACAGACTCTCAGAATTCCTACAATCTTCCCTTTCATTTTCCTAGCTGAGGTCTATTTTGCTTCCTGTCATCAATTACCTATCTATAATACCATCCCCCTTACTTAAATAAATCCTTATTGGGGTAAATCTTAGTGATACCAAAACACAAAATTAAAAACAATTTCCAGAGTCTGGATCTTATTTTCTTTCCTAGCTTTCTTCTGCTGCAATTTACATGAATCCTATGAACCTCCCAAAAGAAGCCTCACACAGAGACCACTGCATAAGCCATATTCTTTCTTCTCTCTATAATGTCAATCTCCCAAATTAACCAGCCACAATCTCACTTCCTGCCACAGCCTTCCCAAACTCTCCGTGTCAATCTCCTGCTTTGGTGGTTCAGTGGTAGAATTCTTGCCTGCCAAAGTTTCCATGTCACAGTTACAGCCTCCACTCACCTGAGACAGCAGCAAGCTGTGCAATAAGACCTTAAGCAGGTTTGTTTGGTTTTTTAAACACTTATAAACTGATGCTCAACAAAGGCTGAACAGAAATGGACCAGGAAAGGATTGAATCTCTAATCATATTCTTTGAAACACACATTCAAATAAAGCTTTATAAGTAAGCTATCCCTACTTTTGACATATATTCAACATTCTATGCCAAAAATCTACAAAATTTAGCAACCATTTGGGGGGGCATACTAAGGCTAAACCCAGGCTTCACACGTTCTAGGCAGACACTCTGGGTGAGCTACAACCTATCTTACTTTTTATTCTGAGACACGGTTTTACTAAACTGATGAGACTACCCTTGATCTTCTGATCCTTCTGCCTCAGCCTCCAAAAAAGCTAGATTTACAGGCATGAGTCACCACAGGGACTGGAAATCACCTTTCCATCAAGAAAATCATTCTTAGAACTGAATATATATATATATATATATATATATATATATATTGATAAATTTAACAGAAAAATTCATACTAATTCATAAGGCAACTTAATTACTAGACTTCACTAGACTGTCAGTATAATAATTTAATGACATAGCTGCTTCTTTATATTCAGTACAGGGTCTACAGGGTCTCATTACACAGATCGTACTCGTAGTGATCCGCCTGTGTTCAGCCTCCCAAGCGCTGGGATTACAAGTGCATGCCACCACAGTCTCAATGTGCCTCAGCACGCCCCACGGCGGGGCTAACACTGAACATCAAGGATCAAACTCCAATTCCTACACCTGCCTAAGCAGCACTTTAGTCTGCAAAATTATCTAGCTGGCCCCATAGTTGCTTCTTTTTCTGAGTTACTTTGAAGCTATTTTATTTTAAAAGTAGAAAACATGTTAAAGGGGATAAAGGAAAACAAACTTGTTTCTTTAATCCCCAAGATAAATAAAACTCTTCTGAAAAGTATTCACTCACCAACGTTACTTATTAATAGCATACATACCAACTTCACAAAGAAGCAGAAGAACCCTTTTACAGCAAATCCTACTGCTGTAGCTACAGCAAACTGCTTAATAAAACGTATTCAAAAGCTATTCACTTTTACTAGAAATTACTTGAAAATACCCCACTAAAGAGGAACATCCTTTCTGATCTGATGTTACTATTCTGTAAATGTTTTAAGAACAGTAAATCTAAGTTCAGATGCTTTTTGCTAAATTACCAGTTTGTCAAAGAAAAACCTCAAAATCATTTATTTCCTGCTTCAGTAATGTCAGCTGATTTCTTGATATTTAAAAAGTAACTCTCAGTCAGATGGTGCAGAACAAAAACACAGGTAAGACACACAACAATACCTATGAGAAACATGGATAAACTCTAATTCTGTCCTGAAAAAAATAAGCTATAATGGCAAACCTTAGAAGAATACCTTCCAAAGGTCTGACCTTTGTCAGACTAGCTCATTACTCAAGATTCAATGTTATTTATCCAAATAACCCCATGTAAAGGAATGTGTTACTCTGTAACGTCTTTCACTCTAGGGGAGCTATAGGGTTTCGTCTTACACTATACCTTGATTCTGGTAAACCTCTGGAAATCTTCCAAATCCAATGCTACCACTCTTGTCCTAAACACATAGTTTCCAAACCAAGCCATAAACACAATCCAGCTAAAACAGCTGCTGTGCCTTGCTACAAGTTTGACTCAGATGGTGCATTTCTAACAAAAACTCTCAAGTGCTACTGATGGTACAGAGACCACAAATTAAGAACACAGTTCGAAACAGCCTGTCTCCTCTGGATAGGTAGTAATAGTCTCTCACCTAGTCTATCTCCAGCCACTTGGGTGCCTCCTCCAATCCTATTTGCAAGGAAAAAGAAATGTTTTAAAAACTCCATACTGTATTACATCTCAATCACGTGAACATGCTATTCTCCCACCTGAACCCAGAATGTGGGCGATGAAGAACAGCGCTGCCAGACCTCACTTTGTTGCCTCTAAAATGAAAGTTAATGCACCAACTATGATGTTAACTTGTAGAAACCCCAAGGGAAACTGCACAGTAGATTCCTTATAAAAGTGGCCTATTTCTTTTTATTGGAATAGAGAGGTGTTTGGGCAAGGGAATCCTCATTATGTAACTCAGGCTAGCATTAAACTAGGTAATTTCAACGATCTCTACTGTTTAAAGTGCTGAAACAAAATACTATACAAAAGTTATTTATTGAAATTTCATTTTTCCTAATTCTAGAGGTTAGAAAGTCCAAGATCAAGGAAGGTTCCAGCTCAGTGATATTTTCTACTTGCTGTGTCCTCATACAGTAAAAAGGCAGAACAAGTCTCTCTAGAGCCTTGTTCTTATGCAATACTGGGCACTGACCCCAGGGAGCAAGCTTAATTACATTTCTAAGTTTTTAAAAATTAGTTTTAAAATTATATTTATGCCTCACCTAATTATACATAAATTGTTCAACATTATAGTAAAATTTAATGGAGCATTTTCACCCACTCTTTACACTGTAAACTGAAATTTAAAGACACCATATGGTTAGGGAAATGCATGAAATGCAAAAAATCCAGCCTTCACTAGAAACAACATGAGCAACTCTTTTACATGGTGACAGAGAAGGATCTCTAAAAGATGAGAAAGAAGTCAGCTGATGCAAAATCACAGAAATTCAAATTCTACATCTGTAGCACTATCAGAAGTCTGAGGTATATATAGCTGGTTTATTTACCAAACTATTTAATAACAGATAAACTAATATCACACTGTAAGACTGGGGATGCAGCTCAGCAGCACAGTGCCGGCCTACCAAGCATGAGGCCGAGTTCGATTTCTGGTACCAAAACAGAAAACAGTAAAAATTAAAAAATAAATATCACATTGTAAACTGTAAATATGTACATCAACTTAAAAAAAAAAAAAAACTGAAGTACTGCATAAAAATCAAAGTCTATTATATTTCCAACATCAAAAATATCCTTGGGGCCGGGGAGATGGCTCAGTAGAATAAGTGCTTGGCTGGCAAGTGCAAGAGCCTGAATTCAATCCCTGGTTCTGAAAAAAAAAAAAAGATGTCCTTGCCAGGCCAGCCAAATAGCTCAGGGGATTAAAGTGCCTGTTTAGGTAGACATACTGGCCGGGTTCCATATTCCCTGGGGCGCACTGAGGCAGGGACTGAAACTGGGCATGGTGCACACCAATAAGCCCAGCTCTTGGGAGGCTGACAACAGGAGGATCACTATGACTCCAATCTATGTAGTGAGACCCTGTAAACCCTGTCCTAAAAATATAAAGATATATATATATCTTCAGAACTATTTTTAGAGAAGTTAAATGTCTCTTTAAAATAAAATTTTTCACCACTTATTTAGGAGAGTGTCTGCAGAA